TGAGCTAAATCCCTGGCCCCTCCATTTATTTTAAGTATTGTAAGAACAAACTTTTAAAAAATTTTATTTACACGTAATGTTTTAAAAGCACATCATTTATTCTCTTCTGTAAGTTCATTGGCTGTTACTTGTGATCTTCTAGCAGTTTAGGGTTTTTCATGATTTGAATAGTTTTTATAGTAAAAGTGTCAATGTTTTGACAAAGTTCGTTACCTGCAGCATTTTCTACATAGACCAAAGCAGGACATGGGCATAGTAAATAAAACTGCTGCAAGGCTCGCAATGAACAAGAGGAAACAAACACAGGAAAGCAAGAATCCCTTTTCCCACCCTGAACCATACCATCTGGGGTCCAGATCGCTGCTGATCCTAGAATTTCAAATAAACCCAGTTAAGATTGTGAACAAACGAACCAAACCTGAGCAAACCGAACGCTGCGTGGGAGCAGCGGGTCGGGATCAGGGTCAGGTTCGCCCCGCTCAATGCGAGCTCCGCTCCGCTTCCTGTCGGCTCTGCTTCGTAAAACACAAATGCCTTTGCCAGCCGCCTGGCGGTGATTTTTGCAAATCGAGATAAGCAAAAGGACGCAGATGGCTCTCGGCCCGATGTGTTGAGCCAGCGCCTGCGAGAGACCCGGAAAGCAGTGGCTTGGGCGGCTGGGGCGCAGAGAGGACGGAGGCCGGGGGCCGAAGGGCGAGCGGAACTCACGGGACGAAGCCCCGCCGCCGCTGTCACCCCGAAAGCACCGTTTTATTTGGGCTTTTTCAAAACTAAATGTGTGTGGTTGTTTTTAAAAATCGAATGAGGTAGGAAAGAAAGAAGGAGGGAGGGAAGGAGAAACGGAGAGGAAAATAAACCCACGCAGCCTAGGAAGCGCCGCGCCTCCTCGGTCCTGCGTCGCGTCGGGCCCGGCTGGGCGTCGGGAGCCCCTGGCCAGGACTCGCAGGCTCGGAGGCAGCAGGAAAGCGCGGACCCGGTCGCTCCGCACGGGGGCGAGCACAGCGGTGACGTCCTTGGGTACCTCTGGACTGCCCCGCAGCGCCGTGATCCAAAACGGATCCCGCAGTCAGGAAAGGAATCGGATGCAGGAGAATCCTTCGCTCATCTCAAAATGCAAAAGGTACAAACAGCCTCCCCGTCGGGGAATCGAACCCCGGTCTCCCGCGTGACAGGCGGGGATACTCACCACTATACTAACGAGGATGCGCTATGAGGTGCGCTGCTCCAAATCGGTCCCTATGAGGGCGGATCGCGCTGGCCCAGCCCGCGCGCGGGTCCCCGGGCGCCGCCTCTCCCGCCAGCCTCAGGTGGGGGTTTGCAATGGGGCGCGGTGCCAGGGTGGGGAGCCCGCGAGCAGAGCGGGAAGCTCTATGATCGCGCCAGAACAAGGAGAACGTGGCTAGGGGATGTAGCTCAGTGGTAGAGCGCATGCTTTGCATGTATGAGGCCCCGGGTTCAATCCCCGGCATCTCCACTGCAGACGTTCTTTTACTTCCAGTCGGACCCCGCAGCTCCGGCGTGCGTGGAGGCCCGGGCCCCATCTGTGATTTTACACCTGTGCTCCTACTCAGGTCACCCAGCAGGAGGAAACTGCTTTTTAAGACAACTGTTTTTCAGTACCAATCTCCCGCTCGGCGGAGAGACAGCTTGGTTTCTGGGGAGAGCCCGCCGCCTGCCGTGCAGGGCGCCGAGGCACCGACCCCCGATTCCAGGCCGAGCACCCGAGTGTGCAGAGGGGAGGCCGCCGACAGCAACAGCGGAGCGGGCGGAGACGGCCGTGCCGAGGCCCACGGGCTGGCGGAGGGGCCCGCGGTGACCAGGGGACCAGCTCAGGCCCCGGCGCGGGGGCCGGCCTGGGCTCGGTTCTGGGGCTCCCCCTGGCGGCCAAGCGGAGAACGCCCTGGGCGGGCTGTGTGGACCGCGGGACCCTAGAGGCCGGGGTGCGGCGGGACGCGGGGCTCTGGAAAATTGGGAGGAAGCTCCTCCACATGGCCGGACCACAGCGCCCACTTTATCCCACCGGAAGTAGCTCCATTCTCACGGAGCGCGTCACTGATTTCTCTCGTGCCCGGGCCTGATCCCCACGGGTGCGTTCCTGTCCGGCACTGTTTGGTCCTGCGACTGTGGGTGCTTAATCTTTCTTTGTTTGTCCTGGGGATTGAACCCAGGGCCTCTGCACTGAGCTCAGACACCAGCCCTTTTTTCCACTTTTCTTTTGATACCAGATCTTGCTATGTCACTAAGTTACTCAGGTAAGACCCCAGCTTGCAGTGCTCCTGCCTCAGCCTCTGAAGTGCTGTGATTACAGGTGTGCACCGCGCCCAGCCAGAGGGTGAGCATCTTTTAGGATAGCTGTTAGCTGTTACCAAAGGAGGCCAGTTTTGCCCACCATGCCTACTCCTGCAACAGGTTTTGCAGAAGAAAAAATGTTTATGTGCAGGGCAGACAGGTGTGGAGAGAGGAGACACAAGGGTCAAGCCTGCCTACCCAAGGACAGGGTTTGGGGATATTTATGGGATAAAGTAGCAAGGTGAGCCAGGTATGGAGGTGCACACCTGTCATCCCCCGCACGCTGGGAGGCTGTGACATAGTGGACTAGTGACATATTGAGACACTGTCCCAAAATACAAAATTTAAAAAGCTGAGGATGTATCTCAGTGCCGATGCCCTGGTGTTGTGGCAGAGGAACAGCTCAGTGCTACAGCCAAGTGTTACAGCTCAGTGTCACACCTCTGGGTCACGGCTATCACAATTTGAAGACTGGAGAATCGAATGGTCACTCAAAGAGGTTGGAGAAAAACCTGTATTACAGCCTCAGGCTCAGAGGAGTTCGTACTCTAAAGTCTGAGCACCTCAACAAAAAGGAGAGCCTCCTTATATAGGGATCGAAGGGTAGCCGAGCATGCTCACTGAAGCAGGGGGCGGAGTCATAGAACATTCCTGAAAGGGGCAGAGCTAATGGAACATTCCTGAAGGGGGTGGGGCTAACAACATTCCTGAGGTCACGAAATTCAAATAGTTACAAAACATTTTGATACACTGCAGGAGCCCAGCAGCACAAACTGTTACATTTCTGGAACAAAACATTCTGGGGGCCGGGGCAGACAACACGGACAAGGCAAGGGCCTCTCTTACTGTATGGTATTGTTCTATCCCTGGGGTCAATCCCCATTACCAAGGGTGATTCGAGGCATGGGTAACAGTGAGTGGAGGTCAATCTTAGGGTACGTCTTGCATGGTTGTTCAGAAAATGGCTTTAGCACAATCTGAGGTCAGGTTTCAGCCTCCTGATGTCTGAAAGTTGCCTTCATGACACCTGCCCAGGCCCAGCTGAAGAGCTGGTGGTTGCAGAACAGTAACCTAGGCAATCATTCCCATCATGCCGCACAGTCCAGGGGTCATCTATGGAAGCACTAGTGCTCAGCTGTGCCAAAGTCAAAGTTAGGGATTTTTCAAGTCCACAAGAAGCAAATGAGGCTGGAGAGTTCATCTGGTTTTCCCTCCTTTCATATCTGCCAGCCACCGAGATGCGGGTGTCTGGAACTCACCTCTGCACCACCTGCCTGTTGGTTTTTGTCAAACTGCACCAGCTCACCCAACGGGCTATGGCATTGGTCACGTTCTGCAGTATTTTCACCTTCTGATGTTGTCACTTCCTAATCTAAACACTGCACAAGGCCCACCACCTTGCCGTCCCTTCAGCCCTCTCTGCAGCGACCCTATTTCCTCAACACCTGCCCTTGCATGAGCTGGGGGCGTGGATGGTGACCAGGCAAGGACTGTGTCGCCGGGCTGCTGCCCAGGGTGGACAACCAACAGCCAGCCTCCCCGGACTGGGACTGAGCCGCTTAAGAGGTGCAGGGTGGTGGGTGGCCCGAGGGTGGGCGAGGAAGGAGTGCAGTGTCCCGGGGCATGGCCTGAGAGGCCGTGTGGGAGGAGACTTTTCACTGTGCTGCCCCCTACCCTGCTGTTAGGCGAGGCTGGGATGCAACCCAGGCCCCTCAGGTCGGCTGGCAAGCACTCTGCCACCCAGGTCCTCCGCCCCAGCCTCCGAGGGGCTTCATGCTGGCAGTGAGAGGACATGGGCAGCTGCCCCGATGCTATGTGTGGCTGGAAGATCAGTGCAAAGCAGGAAATGACAGGCATGCACTCTGGGGATGGCTGCACACGTGGGGCACCTGCGGATCCAGAGGTGTGCAGCTCAGCGTGGGGATGAGGGAGGATGGTGGGGTGTGAGCGTGCCAGGGCGCTGCTGTCACAGGTGCCTGGCCTGGGAAGGACACACCTGAAGCTGAGCACCTGCCTAGCTCATGAGGCCCTGGGTTCCGGCTATGGTGCAAGCGCCCACTGGAAGCGCAGATGTGCGCACAGACACTTTGTGCTTCAGCCATGTGTGGTGGTGCACGCCTGTTAACTGCAACACTCTTGGAGGCTGAGGCAGGAGGATTTGCAAATTCGAGCCCATCCTGGGCAACTAAGCAAGTCAGTCTCCATTTTGAATTGGAGGTAGGGGCCCGCCGCGCAGCTGTGTGAAGGCCCTGGGTCCTCTTTGCCTTCTGACCAGTACCCTTCTAGGTCGTCAAGAGAACGGAGAGCTTCGTGTTCACAGAACACTCGCACACACACACCCATGGCAGCATAGCACTGTTCATGCTGGCCCACAGGACCTGGACAAATGGATGAACAGAGCAAGCCCACTGGTGTTTTGTTTTCTGTACCAGGGATCGAACTCAGGACCTTGTGCTTGCCAGGCAGGTGAGGTGCCACTGAACTACATCCCTGGCCCCCCACTAGTTGGTTTGTGATAGGATCTCACTATGTAGCCTAGGCTGACCTCCAACTCACGGCAGTCCTTCTGGCTCAGCCTCCTGAGTGCACCACGCCCAACTGTGAACCGGCTCCTGTTTGTGTGGCAGTGTGAGAACATGAAGCCTGGCTGCTGCTGCCACCCTGGTGGACCCTGAAAACCATGGGGTGAATGACAGAAGTGACAGCACCGGTTACAAACCATATGACTCTTTATCCAAACATCCAGAGCAGGCAAAGATAAGACAGAAGGTGGGCTCCTGGAGGGCTCAAGCAAGAAACTGGGGGGATGGGTAAAACTGCTGCTAGGTATGGGCTTCCTTCTAGGGTTACAAAAATACTCTGGAGCCGGGTAGCAGTACTCTTAGAGGAGGGAACACACAGTGTGTCAGTGTCCTGCAGTTTCTAAGAGAGCTGCCCATGTAGGGCTGCAAACCGTGGGCGGCAGGCGGGGGACGAGAGCTCCCGTGGCCATGGGCACGGCTGGCCCGCACTGTAGGTGTCCTGGAGAGCAGCCACCCCAGCCCGGCTCTGCTCCAGGTGAGGACCTGGTTTTGCTCCTCGGGCCATGGAGAAGCAGAAGGGCCGGGCACCCCAACCTCGAGCCCTTGAGGTGAGAGTCATGGCGAGGCGGCCTTTGGGGGCCAGGGCCTGTGGGACGCAGCCGGAGGCTGAAATGAGTTCTGGGATGGCGTGGGGCTCGGGCGCCCCCGAGTGTGAGCAGGAGCCTTTGGTGTCACGGCTCCGCCTCCACGGGCGCTGAGCCCGGACCCCCATGCCACTTTCTCGCTGCACGGTCACCCTCGCCCCTCGGGACACGGGGTGCAGGACAGGGCCCCCGACCCCACACCGCCTGAACCCTCTGTCCTCCTCTTCTTGGGGACCATCCTCGCCGCTGTCTGGGCCTGGCCGGTGCTGGGCGCTCCCTGCAGCGTGGCCCAGGACACGCACGGTCAGGTCAGCTCCCTGCGACCTGAGCCGGCCGTGGAGGCTGAGACGCCACCTCCTGGGGACGATGGCACCCAGAAGGCCCAGGGTTGGAGCAGAGCCCTGAGGGGGGCCGGGCCGGGCCGGGATTCAGAGCCGGGGGCTCCCTGCCCCCACGAGGGCCTGAACGGCCCCAGCCTGAGCCTCCACAGGGGACGGTGCAGCCCGGCCCAGTCCAATCGGGCCATGAGTGAAGTGGTGTTGGTCGCGGTGTAAGGAACAGCCGGAGGCGGGTGCCACACATGCGGGCAGCCAGTGCGGCACGGGCTCAGGATGTGCTATCCTGGGCGCCCCCGGCCCTCAGTCCCCACGCCAGCAGCCTGCAGTCAGGGCCTGCTCAGCCCTGTGAGGCGGGGGGCCAGGCTTTCTCGACCTCAGGGTGCGCTGCTTGCGGGAGCCACTGCAGGTACTCGGGCAGCAGGTCTGCAGGAGGCGGCGCCACGTCAGGGAGGCCGCGCCCGGCAGGGAGGCCCTGGCCCCGCTGGCCCCGCCCGGCCCCACTCACACTTGGGGTTTCGCTCCCACGCAGCCAACAGCGCATCACGGCAGTCGGCCTTCTCAGCCACCAGGGCCTTCAGCAGTGTCTCTGTCCTGGGCTGCAGCCTGGGGGACATGGATGTGGGCTGGTAGATGGGCATAAGAGGGCTGGGGAGGTCATGGAGGGAGAGTGGATCCTAAATCCACTGGGGTGAACCCAGGAGGACAGAAACAAGGCTGGAGTGATGCAGCCACAAGGGCAGGAACCTAGCAGCTTCTCGGGGCTATGAGGCAGGAGGGTCCCAGTCACACAAGCTCCCTATCAGTACCTGCTCCTTACTGCTAAGGAAGCCATACCTGGCCCACGTCTTGAGCATCGTGCTGGGGCTGGACAGCAGGCAGCTCCGGAAGGTGGCCAGTTTACGGAAGACCTGCAGAGGGACCTCGGGGGTCGAACCCAGCCCACCCTATGCACGGTGCCCAGGACAGGGCCGTGGGGCTGGGGCTGCCTACCTGGCCCTCCAGCAGGAAGCAGGCGAAGTGCTTGTAACGGTCAACGCCCTCGGGAAAATCCACCTGGATGGCAGGGAGTGGCCAGCCAACGCGGTCTGTGGGGCACAGGTGGTGAGCAGGGGGCGGGAGGAGGGAGGGAGGGAGGACGCCCAGGCCTGGCGTGGCACTCACAGAACACGCTAGCACGGTGGCACAGCACACGCCCGCTCTCGGGGCAGTAGGTGGGCGCGGGCTTCTCCAGGGGCGGCTCAAACTGGCAGTAGGCAGGCAGCAGTGCCGGGATCCAGCGCTCGTCCACAGCGGAGACGCCTGGCAGGGGAGGCCGTCAGCGGGTGCCACCGGGCAGGGTGCTGCTGTCCCCCACATGCCGCGTACCTTTCATGTACATCTTGGTAGTCTCCACCATCTCCTGGTACACCACGAACTCGGGGAGCTCGCGGAAGAGCACGGAGCTGGGGTGGATGAAGACGGGCTCGTCCAGCAGCGGGGTCTGCAGGGAGCGGAGGGGCCTTGTGGCAGGGAGACCCCAGCACCCGTCCCGGACCCCACCCCACCCCACCAGCGGGGACCGTCCGCCCATGACAGCCTACTCCTCGGCCACTAAGGGGGACGGGGCAGCGACACAGGCTGCGGTGACACAGCAAGGAGAGAAGGGGGCAGGAGGGGTCCTGGTGGGTTTTTCTCTGGGAGGTGACAGCGTCCTGAAGCCAACTGTGGTGAAGGCTACACGGGTCTGAACATATCAAGCCCACAGGGCCGTGTGCTTTCGGTGGGCTGATTTTATGGCAGGTGAACTACGGCCCACTGAAGCTGCTATAAACACAAGGTTGGAGCCAGGAGTGGTGGTGCCCACCTGTAACCTCAGAATAGGAGGCTGAGGCAGGAGGATCCCAGAAGTTCCAGGCCAGCCTGAACTACGTAGTGAGACTGTGTCTCAAAATGGCAAAAAAATAAAACATAAAACCCAGGAAAGTTGGAGGTGCACCCCCAGCTTGCAGGGCTGGAAAGCCAACGCCGATGCCCCACCTTGTAGGCGTTCCTCCACTTGTCGTCCAGCAGTTCCTCGCTCTGCACCCTGCGGGCTAGGTGATCGCCCAGCCCGGCCGTGACGATCTGCCGCAGGTAGGTCACCTGGCTTTTGGTGGGTGGCTCCATCTTGGGGTCCACGAAGAGCCCGGCCTCGGGGCTCACTGCATTGACTGGGGATGAGCGTAGGGTGGGTTGGGGGGCCTGGACCCTGCGCCCCACAGAACAGCTGCCTCCCCATCTTTCACGGGTAAAGCCCTGGTGCCTGTCGGCAGCTGTGCTGCTGAGCCACAGCCACCAAACCCCAGGGCCTCGAGGGAGGCTGGGTTCTGTGCGTGATGGGGACTCGGGACCACGTCACAGGGAGGACAGTGGCAGGTGCCTGCGCCCATCATCCGCCCATCCCTCCTCCTCCCTGGAAGGAACGTCGCCTGACGTGGCCATGCCACTGTCACCTGGGCCCAGCAGCTCCAGGCCACTGCAGCTGGGGATGAGCTGGGATGGCCACAGTGACGCGGAGGCGCCCAGCCCTGGCACACGGCTGCTGGGAGAGCCCAGCTCTGGTGCTGGACCTTGGTGCCTGCTGGACCTGGAACGTGATGTTCCTCAAGGCCTCAGGGAAAGGGCTGCCTGCCACCCGGGTCCCGAGTGTCCTCGTGGGCTCGATACACCTCTCCTGACATCCCCAGGCCTGGGTTCTGGGTGAGAAGGCCCAGGGGTCCAGGCGCTGCAGGGACGGGGGACTAGCGAGCATGCGCACACCTGGCTGCGGAGACTCCCGAGGGAGGACCTGGGGTACCGGCTAGTCTCAGCGGCAGGCACGTCGGCCAAGATGACCTGGTTCACCTAGGGTGGGACTGGGCGCCCTACCTGCCGTGGTGAGCTGGCCACGTAGGCGCCGCACCTCCAGCATGGCCTTGAAGCGCAGCCCGTTGGCCTCGCAGAACTCCCGCGCACAGCCCGCGTACTCGCAGGCCCCCACCGCGCCTGAGGGACGGATGGACCGGATATCACGTGTGTTGGCCCACACGGCCAGGACCCTGTGGGACCCGCACTCCCGCCCACGGGCACTGACCCAGCAACACCATGACGTCGCCCAGCTTCAGCGAGGCTCCCTGGCCCGCCCAGGTCCTCTTCATCTGGGCCACCCGGGAGCGCCGGGCCTTCAGTGCTGACAGCTCCTCCTCGCTGGCGGCGGGTCTGCAGACACAGACGTGGGCACGCGCAGGCACGCACAGGCACAGGCGCGCACACACACACACACACACACATGACCTGGGCTGCAGCCTTGGGGGATGCAGTGCACTCAGGGGCTGGGGCAGTCACACTCCAGCTCCCGATGTGCCCCCAGCAGCCAGCAGGGCCAATAGTGTGCCTGCAGTCAGCTGCAGAGGTGCACACCAGCTTCTCAGGAAGCTGAGGCAGGAGGATAGAAAGTTCAAGGCCAGCCTGAATCATGCATTAGGCTCTTTCCCAAAACAAAAAGGGCTAGAGGGCCGGGAATTTAGCTCAGTGATACCTCGCCTGCCTCACAAGCACAAGGTCCTAAGTTTGATCCCTGGTACCAGAAAACAAAAACAAACAAAAGGGCTGGGGATGTAGCTCCATGTTCCCTGGGTTCAATCCCTAGTACCAGGAAAGAACAGAAGAGCAGCTGCTTCCGGACCAGGCAGTTCTGACAAACGCCACTGCACACTGCTGCACAGGAATGTGACTAAGCTAGAAAACCATGCTGGGCGTGGTGGCGCAGGCCTGTAATCCCAGCACTTGGGAGGCTGAGGCAGGAGGATCTCGGAGAGTTTAGGGTCAGCCTGGGCTACAGAGTGAGACCGTCTCAAAAAACAAACAAAACAAAACAAAACAAAAAAGAAAGAGAAAATCACAAGCTGTCAGCAGAGCCCCCATGGTGAGCTGGGGAGCAAATCCTGCTGGGATCTCCTGAGCCCAAAGCTCACTGCGTGGCTGGGTCAGCCGTGGCTCCAAGTGCTTTGCTCGTAGGAATTAACTTAGAGCCAAAGACAATCACATTATCATCAGCATCGTCCCCACGCTGCCCAGATGGAGAAACAGGCTTGACAGGTGCAGTCACCTGCCCAAGGCCACACAGGGTGACCCCATCGGGCCGACACCCCGTCGGTGCAGATGCCGTCAGGGGTGCAGGCTGGACACTGATGGAGGTGCTGAGATCAGTCATGAAAACTGAACACAAGGGAAAGCTTCAGTTCTGCATCCCAGCAGCCTCAGCGGGGGCTCAGGACCGAGGGCTGCAGCAGCACTGTCCGGAGGATGTCGGGCCAACGGGCAGCGGCAGGGAAGGGAGGGGAGAAACTGCCTGAAGCCAAGGATTTCCTTGGTAATTTCCAGCCGACGACGGGGGTCCACCAGGGGGCCACGCAGTCCCCACAGGATGTGGCAGATTCTGCCAGGGGAACCATGCCAGCGTGTGACATTCCCGGGGACAGTGCGCTGATGGGAGCGCAAATCACACCCAGCACTGCAGAGGCGTTTAGGGAGGAAGGTGAGGCCCCGGGCCACGGAAGTCAGTATTTTTTCCCCATTTTCGTGGGGTTTTTTTGATGTCTTTTTTGTTGTTGTTTTATGAGACAGGGTCTCACTGTGTACTCTTGGCTGATCTTGAACTCGAGGCAATGCTTCTTCCTCAGCCTCCCAAGTGTGTGCCACCATGCCTGGCTTTTATTTTTGCAGTACCAGGAACTAAACCCAGGTCCTTCACACTGAGCTACATCCTCAGCCCCTTTTAATTTTATTTTTGAGACAGGGTCTCACTAAGTTGCCCAAGCTGGGCTTGAACTTGCGACCCTCCTGGATCAGCCTCCTAGAGTGCAGGGATGGCAGGCGTGTGGCACCATGCCCAGCCTGGTCTGTGTCAGGTGGCCTGATGCTAGGTGTCCCTTTTCTGGAATCGGTGACCCTTGACACCAGGGCCCCTAACTCCGAGCCTCAAAACTCCGCCTCTTGAGGCGGCCGCTGTCACCGCGGGGCCCACGCACCTGTCCAGCTCCTCAAACAGCTCACGCACGGTCATGGCCGCCACGATGACGATGGCGTAGGGCAGGCAGCCGTGCTGGTGACTGAGCGCGAGCACTTTGGCACAGCGGGGCGCCACGGGGAAGGTGGCCATGGTCCTGCCGAGTGCTGTGATTGGGCAGCTCAGCCGCGACCTCTGTAGCTGCTTCACCCTGGGGACCGAGGCTGCGGTGGGCGGGTGCCCAGGGGGTCGGGGTGACGCCCAGCCCGGCCCTCCACCCACCCCCACCTACCTTTGTGTTTTGGGGGGCGCCTGCAGGGCCCCCAGTGCGATCAGCAGCTCCTCTGCCGCCACCAGGGCCTCCATGGAGGGTGGCGTGGGGAAGGGGAAGTTGATGACCTGGGGTCCGAGGAGAAGAGGCGGGGACCAGTGAGATGCCGGCGGCCTCCTGCCTCCTCCCCTAACCAGGCACAGGGCTGGGCACCCAGGGAGCGGGCAGCAGGAGCCCTCGGCAGGGCCGTGCCGGGAACCCCAGGGCCACTGGTCCACGCCTGCACAGCCTGAATGCACTGTGGCTGCAGGCCGGCAGCAGGAGGTGTACCCCAGCAGAGCAGGAGCACTGGGGACCGCTCCACTACGTGACTCAACGCCAAGCCTCCCTGACACTGGCTCACGTGACCACGGCCGGGCCGCCCTCCTTTGTAAATGGTGATGGCACCAGGGACTCGAGGGGGAGGGACAGGCACACGTTTGGCATCAATGCATCAGCATCATGGGGACAAGAACTCAGCCTGGACGCTCTGCTTGTCACCACGTTAGGGTTCACATGCAGAGTGGCTGCGAAGACTCCTGAATATGGAAGGAGATGGATCTTGGGCCGCTCCGCTTCCTGGGGGAGTCAGCCAGGGATGAGCTCAGGGCTGAATGCGCTGTTAGGAGGCGGGCCCCAGGTGGGAGGGTCCCGGGGCCAGGGCCAGGAAGGGACCACACCCTCCCCAGCTCAACCCTCTGCTTCCTGTCCCCCATGCCACGAGCAGCTCTCCTCCGCCAGGGCCCCCTGCCTTGCTGTTTCTGCCCTGAGCTGGCCGACCATGGACCGCAAACAGGAGCCAGAATAAACCTCTCTCCCTTTAAGTTGTATGTTGCGTGCGTCCCAGCAAGGGAAAAGTAACTGGGACCCAGTGTGAAGGGGGCTCTGGCCAGGGCACCAGCGCAGGCTCAGGATGCCTGCTCCACCCAAGGACAGGGCCGGGAGGGCAGTGGCTGGACTGGGCAGGACCATCTGCCTGGACGGGACTGGGGCCCAAGGGGGACCACGAGCAGAACACGGTGGTCACAGGAGACCAGAGGCCATGTCCTGTCAGAGGCCGCCCCATGTCAGCAGGCACAACTCCCACGTCGGCAGAGGGCAGGGACCCCGCCGGGACACAGGCTGGGGCCACCACTGACCTTCTCGATGTTGAGAGCCTTCATCTGCAGGATCAAGTCCTCCACGGGCCTCCGGGTGATCTCCGGAGGGGGGAACTTCTCGAAGTCCCCGAAGACGGCAGATGAGTATAGCCTGGGACAGACACACAGCCCCTGAGTGCGGAGACGCCTGGCTGTGCCTGCCTCATCCTCCTCAGCTGAGACAGGCTGAGCACTGCGGCCCACAGCACTGCTTCCTCATCTCCTGTCTACCTTCTCCGGTTTCCTGTTGAGTGACTTAAAACAATGTGGAAGGAACAGCAACAAGGCCGGCCATGAAAGCACAGCACGCAGGCTGGGAGCAGAGACTGTGGCACTGTCTGGTGCGGGAGTGACACCTAAATTATCTAACGAACACGCACAAACCAGCAGTGAGAAGGCCAGCGAGCCAGGCGTGCCACACGCTGGCAACCCTAGCACTCTGGGAGGCTGAAGCAGGCGGGCCCTAAGTTGAAGCCCAACCTGGGCAAGTTAGGGACTTAGCAAGACCCTGTCTCAAAAATTGAAAAAGGGGCCGGGGATTTAGCTCAGTGGTTTCGCCGCCTGCTGCGCAAGTGCAAGGACCCGAGTTCGATCCCCGGCATTAAAAAAAAAAAAAAAAGAAAGAAAAAGGCTGGGGACGTAGCTTAGACAAAGGTCCTGGGGTCAGTTCCCAGTACCACAATTTAAAATTTTTGAAATTAAGAAAGAGAACTGTGCACGTGGAGGGGGTGAACCGGTTCTCAATTAAGCTGATGACAAATGGAGCGGTAGCGGAGCACAGGGCCTGCCTTCGCAGGGGTGGAGGACCAGGAGCATCTGAAGGGAGCGTGGTGCTGCTCAAGCACAAGCGGGGCCGGGACCCACCTGTAGCAGTGGCCCGGCTCTGTGCGGCCTGCCCGGCCTGCCCGCTGGTCAGCAGACGCCTGGGAGACCCAGGTGACGCGGAAGGAGGACACTCCGGTGACGCGGTCGTAGAAGCGCTTCTTGACTTTCCCACAGTCCACCACGTACTTGATGCCGGGGATGGTGAGGGACGTCTCGGCCACGTTGGTGGCCACGACACACAGCCTAGTCCCCTCTGGGGTAGGCCTGAAGACCTGGGGGTGGGTGAGGAAGCAAGCAGCATGCTCGAGAGAGCTGGGGGCGGAGGGGCAGGGCGAAGGCAGCTGATCTGCGAGGTCAGGGACGCTGGGCAGGGCTGACACAGCCCAGCTATTCCCTGCCGGGCACACACGGAAGAAGCATCTGCTCCCCGGCACCCCAGCCTGGGGTCAGCAGCAGACGGAGAGGACAGGGGAGATGCCTGGAGCCACCCGCGGGCCATACCTGCGCCTGCTTCTCGGGAGCCAGCAGAGAGTAGAGCGGCAGCACATGCAGGGGCAGGGAAGCATCCGGCTGCTCACCTGCAGGAGCACAGGTGCTGGCACCCGCTGGACAGGCGACCAGGCGGGAGCCACCCTGGGGCTGCCCCTCCCCAAGCAGCTCAGCCAGGGGCAACTCTACCACCCTGCAGGTGCCTCACTCTGCCCCAGGGTGCGCACTGTGACCGGTGCCCCCAGGCCCACCGGCTGGACACCCACAGCCAGCGGCTGTGCCTGTGACAGCTGGCAGTCGGGGACTAGCTGCGGCTGCACGGCCATGAGCCCTGGCTGCTTCATGGGCTCTGGGCTGAACGCAAAAATCATAGCATTCTCTTGTGTTTTCTTTCTGTTTGCAACCAGGTCTCATTCTATTGCCTAAACTTGTCCCCAGTTCCTGGGCTGGAGCGATCTTCCTGCTTCAGCCTCCTAGGTAGCTGGACTCCATGTGCCAGAGCCACTGTGCCTGGCCTGAGCCAAACAGCAAGGTGCTGGGCCTGGCTATGCACCCAGGAGCCTGCACACCCGGCTCCTCCTGCCCAGGGGACCCAGCGGCCCTCTGAACCACCCTGCCAGGGGCCGCCCCACCTCCGTCCGGCCTGCTCTCGTCGCCGTCCCCCAGGCCCAGGTCCAGGTCGGAGCCCAGGGCCTCCTCGTCATCCACCTCCGCCTCCCGGTCCTCATCGGGCTCGCCCGCCGGCAGCACTGAGTAGTTGTCCAGGTTGATCTGGGGCAGCATCTGTGGCCAGCGAGCCAGGCAGCAAGGTGGAGGCGGGTGCGAACCCCGCCGAGCCGAGGGAGGCACGTCCTCCAGGGACCCTGCTTCCCGACGGCCAGGTCGCTGCTCCCCGGATCCCTACGGGCTCGGGAGCTCGGCCCACCCTTCTGGAAGCTTCCTCGAGTCGCACCGCGAGCCCCAACCCTGCCCCAGGAAGGGCTGCCTGGGTGGCCCGGCCGTCAGCCTAGGTCCTCGTGGCTGCCAAGCCCAACGCAGGCCTGGGTCACCGAGGCCGGCATTTCTGCTCTCAGCTGTCCCGATGGCACTTCCACCCCAGCCCCCTCCACACACCTCGGCCCGGGCCTGCTTTGCCCTTGCTCTGGACTTCTTAAACTTGCGCATCTCCTCGGCCGAGTCCTTGTCGTCCTCCTCTCCTGCAAAGGCGAGGGTTGGAGGAAGACTCCTGCGGGCGGCACGGCGACTGCACTCTGCCCGCATCCAGTGAGGGCACTGCGATGGCCGCACACTTGGGGTGGGGACAGGGACAGGCCCAGGCCCAGCGCCCAGGGGCCCAGTTACCTGGTGGCTGTGACCTGGAGGCCGGAAAGGCCCTCCGGAGCCTGCGGCACAGGGCATGAACCTCCGCCTGCCCAGTCAGAAACACCAGGATGCCGCCTGCAGAAAGAACCACCCCACTGCCATCCATTAGTCAGTGAGCAAACACTTAGCAAAGAATTAGCAACAACCAGGAGGCAGGACCCTGAGACACGGGTGCACCAGGAGGTCGGTACCATGGCAGCAGCAGTCCCCCGAGGGGCAAGGGAAGGGCCACTGTACGCTGGGCAGTGCCACTGTTGGACACAGCTCCAAAAGTGCCCGTTGGGGATGATCTGCCCTGCTCTGTGGCTGGAGGCTGAGCGGACGCCACTGCCAGACTCCACCTCGGCCCCAGAGGACCGGAAGCTAAGGCAGGAGCCCACGGTGCTGTGTGTAGAGCAAGGTGGTGAGCACAGTTTGATGCCAGGGGCAGGGGCAGGCGCTGTACCTGCCGGCCAGGGGTCCCCTGGCAGCCACGCAGGGCCTCACCTGCGGGCAGCATGCGGTGGATCTTGCACACCTTCCGGAAGCACTCGCCGCTGTAGTCCTCCTGCGGCGTGCGCTTGTTGAAGTGCACGGTCACTGGGAACTGCCGAGACTCCACCTGCAGCCGCACCCGACAGCTCAGCCCAATGGTGGCCCTGCCCTGCGGCCCCCAGGTCTGTTCCCCGAAGACAGGCCTAGCCCCACGTTACCTGGATGACGGGAGGTGGCCTGACGAAGAGCCGCTGGTTCTGCGTGAAGTCCTCCACCCGCAGTGTGGCCGACATGATCAGCAGCTTCAGTGGGCGGCGCCTCTGGGGAGGACAAGGACAGGGCTTTGCCCCTCAGGGCGCGGGCCAGTCAAGGGGCCTGTCACGTCCCCAGGGCAAAGGCTCACAGTGACCTTCAGGGCAGGAGGGCTGAGGTGCCCCCACCCAGCCCAGGGACACCAGGGACACGGGACCCTGACTGTCCCCAGAGGCAGAGCCAAGAGCACAAAGAGACAGAATGTGACAGACTTCGAGGACAAGGACACGGCATGGATGAGCGCTGGGCGGGACGTGACAGGAGGGAGGCCCAGGATGGCCCGGGGGGCAGGGCCCTGGCAGCCATGGCGTGACAGCAGGGCCAGACAGTCACGGGGACCCCCACCTGGGCACGCAGGGCCACGATGCGGGACAGCAGGCCGACAAGGATGTCGGTGTACACGCTCCGCTCGTGGGCCTCGTCGATGATGACCACCTTGTACTTCAGCAGCAGGAAGTCCTGCCAGGGGAGGTGCGTGAGGCCCGCAAGCCACCAGGGCCACCACGCCCAGTGCTGCCACCCAGCCCTCCCCTCTCCTGCCCCTACTTCCTCCCCTGAAGTGGGGACAGCAGCCTCACAGCCTGGGCTCACGGGGAGCTCTGAGCACAGCTGACGCCGGCAACGGGACGGCAGGGTTAGGGCTGGGCAAGAAATGGGACAGGCCGGGTGCACAGGCCATGCAGAAAGGGCTCCCCGGAATAGGAGGTCGAGGCCCAGCCACCTCCCCGTCATGCGGCCAGCCAGGAGCAGCTTCCTCACTACACAGCCTCCCTCTGGGCCCCACACACTCTCGGAGACACACATGTCGCCCCCTGTGCCCGCTGGCCAAGCCCTGGACCCAAGGGGACGACTGGGGAGGTGGGACTTGGCCGGACCCCCAGGCACAGGGCAGAGACAGCGGCCTGAGGCGGGCCCCGGTGGCAGTCGGTGCTGCGCCAGGCAGTGAACAGCTGGACCAGAAGTCGCCTGGGCCTCACACCCAGGCTAGCACCTGGCAAGTCACGCGTTCAGTGCACATCTGCAGGCCCCAAACCTCGAGCCAAGCCACACCAGAACCCGAGCCCACGTTTAATGGCTCCCCGTGTGCCAGGCACCGTGCCCAGCGGCTCTCGTGCACTGCACCACTTCCACTTCAGCATGCATGTAGGGAGAAGGCACCAGTACTGGATCAGGACACGGAGGCAGCACGTCAGCAGCAGGCACGGCCGGGTGGCACCCGACTCCCCCCATGCCCGCCGTCCTCGTGTGGTGACGCAGGACGGGCACCGACCTTCTGGATTTCCTTGAGCAGCACACCGTCCGTCATGAACTTGATCCTGGTCTCGTCGGTCACGTTCCCTTCATAGCGGATCTGGTAGGAGACAACCCTGTGGGGACAGGCGTGGGCTCACAGCTCCGGAGGAGGCGGAGGTGGAGGAGGCCGGGCCTCGACCCAGGACAGCCAATGTCTCCTCAGCCCCCACCCCAAGGGGACCGCGGTCCTTCCTTCCTCCAGAGCCTCCAAGTCCTGAGCAGAGACAGCAACACAGGCAAGGGGCAGATGGACTGGGGCTGGTCACATGCAGCAGCTAGGGACATGGGGCTTGCTACACTGCTCTTTTTCGTTTTTTTGGTACCGGGGATCGAACTCGGGTCCTTGCACTTGCGCAGCAGGTGGCGAAACCACTGAGCTAAATCTCTGGCCTCGAAATAAACTTTTTAGAAGGCTGAGGAAGTAGCTCAACGCAGAGGCCCTGGCTTCTGTCCCTGGCACTGCACACACAGGCAACGTGCATCCCTGCAAGTGTGGGCACTCACTGCCAGCAGAGGCCTCTGTGGCTCTGAGTGACCTTGCCAATGCCAAGTGGCTCTGTGGCTGCCTGCACCTGGCCACCTGCTCTGTCCTCATTTTGCCCATGTGATGTGAGCCCCGCCGGGGGAGGCTGTGAGGTCCGATGTGCAGGAAACCCCTCATGGTGCCTTCCCTAGCCCACAGCGGGTGACAGCAGCCCCACACCTAGGGCACGGGGTGGACCCCCCACTGCTCAGCTCCTCCCGGAAGCCCCCAAGGGGCAGGGCCGTGGGGCCACCCCGAGATTCTCCCAGCCAGCAGGGCCTCACCGCTGCGACAGATTCATCTCCTTGGCCACTCTCTGGGACATGGCCACGGCAGCCACACGGCGAGGCTCCGTGACACCGATGATGCTGTTGTCACTGGGGAGGAAAGCAACACCTCAGCCCCGCGGCCACGCCCCATGTCCCACGCCACCTGTGGTTCCGAGTCATGATCCATGCATGGCTGTGACAGGAAGTGGACCGCGTGAGGCGGTTCGCCCACGAGCGGCAGAGAGGAGCCACTGGACACCAGGGCGTGAGGGGCTTGGGGAGCCTGTCTCCAAGAGGAGGAAGCGGGGGCCAGAGGGCGACATGGGGCCGGATGCCTTGCCTCCTGCGATGGAGGACAGGGTGGGTAAACCCCAATGCAGTCTGGGAGCAGAGACCAGAAGCCCCTGCGCTGGGCCGCAGCAGTGACCAGCACATCGTGTCACACTGAGCCCGGGGATCGGCATGGGGCGAGCAGGAATCAGTACTGCGCTGTAACTTTCCTGTCCGTCTGCAGGGTTTCTAGATCAGAATCTCTTGCCACAGTGAAAAGCAGAGAACAGAAAAGCGCACTCAGTGCACTGGCGTTTGGATAGAACAGTCTAATTGCGGAGCCTCTGGCTGAGGGGTAAGGAGTCAGGCAGATCAGTGAATTTCAAAACCAGGGCTGAGCCAGGCGAAGTGGCACAGCCTGTGAGGTCATAAGCCCAGCACTCGCCCGAAGCAGGAGGATCACTGTGAGTACAAGGCCAGCCCGAACTCCATAGGAGACCCTGCCTCAAAAAGTAAACAAATACGATTTGAAGGCGGTGTTGAGTGCCATTCACCTTCCAAGGTGGACAGACCCCACCCTCCTGTTCTGGAGAGGAGGAGCCCAGGGCTCAGAGGGCAAAGCACCCCTTGGCCCTTCCCACCCAGGCAGAGGCTACAGGAGACCGTCCTGCAGCCACCGTGCTCCCCAGTCCCAGCCGTCCCCCTTCCCTCTGCGGACCAGCCAGTATCTGCCCCTCTAGGGCTCCAGGGACGGGGACTGGGCTCGGGGTAGGTGGGCTGAAGGAACCAAGGCACAAGACAACACATAGCCCCTGCAGACATGCGAGCTTGCTGGGGCGGGTGGCCCGTGGCCGTCAGGCGGTATCACCACCCTGGGCGGGTCCCAGGCCGTCTGTGCCAACAGGAGGGGCCTGCTTCCCTCTGGGGTTAGGGGTCATGGCTCCCGCCAGGCAGGGCAGGCCCTGAGCCCTCACAAAGCCTCCCCGAGAGGTGTCATCCTACACGTGCCAGCGGACCCTTCATCTCCCTGCTGCTCCGGCCTCTCCCCTGTGGACATGCTGTGTCCTTGCACTGTGACCCCAAGTCCTCTCCGCAAGCCATGGAGCCTGCTGTGGCCTTGGGGATCCCAACACTCGTGGATGCAAACAGCCAGAAGGGGGCTGCACAGGGACACCCACAATGCCACCCCTAGTGGCTGGACACGGAGGCCCAGGGCAGCGCACCAGAAGCCACAGCATGGAATCGGGACAGGCTGGACTATGTCCTCGGGAGCCTAGGCTCTTAGAGACCACCGGGGACCAATGTCCACATCGTGCTGGCCCTACCTGCTGTAGCCGGCCTCGTAGAGGAACTGGGGCACCTGCGTGGTCTTCCCGCTGCCCGTCTCGCCACACACGATGACGATGGGGTGCTCGGCCACCGCCTCCATGATCACCTGCTCCTCTGACAGGATGGGGAGCTTGAGCCGCTCCGCCTGGGGAGGGAGGATGCTGGTCAGGGACTGGGGGGTGCCTGCATGCGTGTAGAGAATGGCGGGCGGCTGCAGGGGACCCCACAGATACAAAAACACAGAGGGTCAGGTGGCACCTAAAAGGTGTCAGCCATGCCAGGCGTGGTGGCACAGGCCTGTAACATCAGCACTCAGGAGGCTGAAGCAAGATGATCTCTGAGAGTTCAAGGTCAATGTGGGCTACACAGTGAGACCATGTCTCAAAAAAATCAATCAATCAATTAATAAATTAAAAAGGTGGCAGCTGGCACATGTGCGGTGACCAGAACAGGGGCCTGGACAGCTGGGGGATGACACTGCTGCCAACCCAGCCTCCTGCACCACTGACACGGGCTCATCCAGCTCCAGGGTGGCCCCACCAGGGAGGGACAGTCACTGGGACCCCACAGGGTGAGGAGAGGATGTAACCCGTCCACATGACATGAGAACCTGTGAGCTGAATGTGGGCCTCACGCATTCCAGAGACAGCTCCAGCTAAGTTCTCTAGGCTGGCCTTGAACCTGAGATCCTCCTGCCTCAGCCTCTGCAGTAGCTGGGATGACAGGTGCGCTCCACTGCCTGCAGTGCTGGCTGAGTTCTCAATCCCAGTAACAAACCTGCATCTCGGGGGTGCGGTGCACAGGAACAAACACTGCAGGCCTCGTGGGGGGCCTGGGCAGGGCCGAGGTGGCAGCTTTCCCCAGAGCTGGGGCCGGGGCTACAGCGGGCTGGCTGCAGGGTGCCAGGCTCTCATCCACAGAGGACACAGCAGGGGCTGGTGGAGGCTGCCCTGTGGTTGCCGTGGCCCCACCCCTAGCCTGGTCCACAGCTGGGGTCTCATCGGGCTCTGAATCCTCCAAGGACTCAGACTCCTCTGCAGACGGCTGGCGGTGGCGCTTGCGGTTGGCCCCGCTCAGGCTGTTGATCCTCTTCTGGCCGGGGGCCACCAACTCATCAGGCCTCCTGCCCGGAAAGCAGAGGTCTTACATACCCAAGCTGGCTCTGGGTTGTCATGCAGCACAGGTCTGGACCTGGAGGCCATGTCCCTCTCACCCCAGGGCCTTTGCACTTGCTGCCCTCCCACCTTCCTGCACCTCACTTCACTCAAATGTCACCTGTCAGGGACGGTCCCTGACCTCACGGCCTGAAATCCTTCCCCTTTCCCTCCACCCCCCACCCCGTCCCTGTACCCGAGGTGACTTCCTGCCGCCCCCTCCCCGGAGCTCCTAAAGAGGGAGGTGACTCAGTGTCCTGCTCTGTCCCAGGGCCCGGGTCAGCCTGGATATTACCTTCCTCTGCCATCAGCTGCCTGGCGGCAGTGCTCACAAGGACTGAAGCCAGACCTGGCTCTTCACAGACAACTTCCTACGTTTCCTTTCCTTCTGCTTGCCCTGGGATGGAACCCAGGGCCTTGCATGTGCTAGGCAAGCGCTCTAGACAGAGCTGCAGCCCCGGGCCCTTTTATTTTTCTTTTGAGAAGGGGACTTTCTAAGTCCCTGGGATGACAGGAATGTGCCCCCACATCTGGCTGAAATCTCCTAATTCTTTTTTTTTTTTTTTTTGGTACCGAGGATTGAACTCGGGTCCTTGTGCTTGTGCAGCAGGCGGCAAAACCACTGAGCTAAATCCCCGGCCCCGAAATCTCCTAATTCTTAAATCCTGTCTGATCCGGGTTAAACAGTGTCTCCCCAAAATTCATGTGCACCCAGACGCTGACTCCTTGCTAACAGGCCCCTGGCAGCTGGTGGAAGTCTGGATGCGGCCCACGGGCCACGAGGCCAGGAAACCACTGTGCCACCCCCAGCCCCACCCCACGAGAGGCAACCAAATACATGGTCCGTGACACGGCAGCCCTCAGGGTGCGGGCAGCAGGCTCCAGCGGGCGGCTGACTCACGCTCTGCTGTGGTACACGCGCTCCCCGGTGCCCAGCCTGGACGTGGTGTACAGCAGCCTCATCTCGGTCTCGCACACCTGGACCTCACCGAGCTTCTGCAGCAGCTCCGCTCGCTGGGGGAGGGGAGGAGGCGGGGCCTCAGCATGGACCCTGGGAGCCTCTCTAAATGGGACAGTCCAGCTGCGACCCCACCACGGTGCACTGACACCCGAGACCCTGCACAGAGCTTGGGGTTTGGGCCGAGGCCTGGTGGCACTGCGTGCTGGTGGAGAGGGCCTGGGGGGGAGGCGCCTGGCAGCGGGAACCTGGACACGGGGCCTGCTTGGTAACGCAACGCTGCCCGGCTGCCCTATGCAGTGACAGCTGCATGTGCCCCGGGACAGCTCCCAACAAAGTACCTGGTACAACGCAGACTGTGGGGCCTAAGCCGAGCCTTTTCTTTTTGGTACTGGGGATTGAGCCCAGGGTCTTTGCACTGAGCTACATCCTCGGCCCTTTTTTCAGTGATTCTGAGACAGGGTCTTGTTAAGTTGCTAAGCTGCTCAGCCTGTGCTCGAACTTATGCTCTTCCTCCCTCAGCCTCCCAAGTGCTGGGATTAGAAGTGTGGGACACCACGCCCGGCCCCTACATGGGTTTTCAAGGGCGCACTCCGGGTAGAGGGGCTGCACACCTCCTGAGGGACCCGCACACCACTCCTGGCTGCGCAGTGGCCCTGCCCAAGTCAAACAGGCATCTCAGAGGCCGCTACCCTAGGATTCCCCAGCCTCAGGGCTGCGCCCCTGGCCAGGGCTGGGGAGCTTTTGCTCTGTGCACTGTGGGCACTTAGCAGCACCCCGGGCCTTGCCCTACACAATGCCAGGGGCTCCCCAAGCAGCTGCAACCCACGAGTCTGGACAAATCTGCTCTAGGCCTAAATACAAATTCACAGGGGCTCTGGGAGACAGGACCGAGTTCACATCTGAGACGACTTTTCAGCTACAGAACATGAGAAACTCAATGAGACAAATACTATTTCTTCAACAAATTCGTGGGGAGTTAGGGGGAAGCATCGATAAGCAGAAATCTGATCATTTACTGAATATGTGACATTCTTTTTAAAATTTGGCCAGGTCTGCCAGGCGTGGTGGCGTATGCCTGTGACCCCAGCATCAGGAGGCTGAGGCAGGAGAATTATTGCAAGTTTGATGTCAGCCTGGGCTACATAGTGAGACCCTACTCCAAAAAACAAAAAAGGATGCATTGATGGTATTATGGTTATTTAGGAGATCACTTGTTTTTGAGATACAAATTATAATGCTTCTGGATAAGATCCTATGTCTAACAGGCTGCCCCCAAGGCAACGCCTGGGCAGATGTGACCAGCCCCCCAGATGGGGTCCCTGGGACCATCCAGGTGGCCCTGGGTCCGCTTGCAGGAGACACAGAGAAGGTGCCCGGAGGACAATGGCAGACACAGAGTGACTTGGCCACAGAGCAAGAAGCCTGGAACCACGGGGGTGGCAGAGGCAGGGAAGGTGCTGCGCGGCGAGCGCCCACGGCCGGCCCTCGGGGCACAGACCCCAGCCCACCTGGCTCTTTTTCTCCTTTTGTTCCAAGATCTTCTGCAAGGCCTTCTTCTCCTTCTTGGTCAGAGGCTTCTTCTCCTTTCTGGACAGGGCCGGTGTCTTGGTCTTCTTTTTCTTCTTTCCGGGTAGCACAAGTGCATTGCTGGCATCCACCCCTTTCGGCACATCCACATCTGCAAGAACACGCTGGCCTCACCAGGGGTCCAGAAGCCAGGGGCCGGAGCCAGGGGCAGGGACCCTGTGCACAGCCGCCCTCCCTCCCTCCTGCCAGTGAGTGTGCTCGGAGCGGAGTGCATGCATCTCAGCTATTACACTCATCTCATCTAAGCGTAATAGTTGGAAAACATTGCCCCTTGTCTGATCTGGTGGTCACACACGTTCAACATCAAGGTACCTTCTGGACCTTAGGAAACCCAGGCTAAACCGGAAGTCTAACAATCCTTAGGGCCCAGCCCTGAGGGCCTGATCCTGAAGACTCCTGGTGAGACAAGTTGGGGTGTGGGCATCTGGAGCAGAGGGGTAGGGGCCCGCTTCTTAGTGGGAAGCCAGATGGGGGCCTCCAAAGGGAGGGCAGTGCACTGACCTAGTGGGAATGGGGACAGAAGGAGAGTGAAGACCCAGCACCCCCAAACAACAGAACCCAAGTTTACCCCCCTAATCTGCCATTTCTGGAAAATCTGTAAAGAGGAAATATCCCTTCTTAGTTGTACACTCATGATACAGGTCATTTAAAACAAACCATGAAATAAAACAAATCCAACCATGAAAAGAAAAAAAAAAGAGCGTGGCGGCGCACACTTGTAATCCAGCACTCAGGAGGCTGAGGCAGGAGGATCCCTGTGAGTTCAAGGCCAGCCTGGACTACATAGCATGACCCTGTTTCAAGAAAAAAAGGCTGAACAAAATCGTTGGAAAGCAGTCAGTTTGGACCATTTCAGTATGCTTGTCATCACACTGCTTCAGCTCCTCACACTGCGCTATTTCTGCCTCAGATCAGACACCAGGGCTCCCTCTCCCACCTGCCCATGTGAGCGGTGACAGGTTCTGCACAAACTGCTCAACTGTAGGTCTTTATTTATGTTACACACAGCACAGGGAGGCTTTGACCCTAATTAAGAAAAAGGAAGCCAGATGTGGTGAGGCGTTTACAATCTCAGCAGCTCAGGGTGCTCAAGGCCAGCCTGAACTACCTAACCAGACTCTGTCTCCAAAACAAAGAACAGGTCAATTCACTGACTCCCAAGTGCCAAGCACTTGGTCCCTGGAAACCTGGAAAGAGGTCCTACGATAAAAACCCTGAGAACTGCCAGGTATGGTGATGCAAGCCAGTCATCCCAGGACTTGGGAGGCTGAGGTAGGAGAACTGTCACTAGTTTGAGACCAGCTTAGGCTTCACAGTGAGACTTTGTCCCAAAATAAATAAATAAATAAATAAATAAATAAATAAATAAATAATCCCGAAAGAACAACAACCAAAAAACCCTGAGAACCACCTGACTGCAGATGGGTGGGACCAGAGGCAGAGGCCTCTAACGAAACGAGAGTCCTGGGAATACTCTGTGACGGACAACCTTCCCCACTTCTCAGGGTCCAAGAGCCCTCGGCCCCTCTGCTCGGATTGCCCAGTTTATCGTCTTAGAGGTCCTGTCCTGAGCTGCGGCTGCTATTACCAGGGCTGACGTCTGTCAAAGGCCACATCCCAGCTCCAGTCTTTATTCTGCTCTGCGACTTCAAGGGATTCTTGTTTCAGTCACAAATAGTTTCCTATATACCACTCCCCAAGCTCTGACAGCAGGTGGGGCGGCTCCCGCCACGGGTCCCATTTCACAGATGGGAACCCTGAGACACAAGGACGAGGCGATGCACCTCAGTGCGACTCAGAGAAGGGCACTGACTTCCGAATCCCCGAGCCCGGACATAGCAGGAGCTCTACTAATAAGGGTCGCACACCGGTGGCCAGTGGCCCGGCCCTGCGCCGATAGGTCGGGGCTGAAATCGCAAACGCAGGGGTCGCACTTTCTTGCCAGAATCTGCACGCCAGGGCATCAGAGCCGGGAAACTCTGGTGCTGCCCCATACTCAGTTTCAACACTAGGCTAACACTGCCCGCCTCCTGGGGTCATCCGGAATGGGGGATCCTCCTGGGACCCAGCCCCCGGGCCGGCCCCCGCCCCCAGTCCTGGACGGCCCTCCCCAGGATCCCAGCCCCGTTTAGGGCGTTTTACCCTCTAGCTCCAGCCGCACGGGGGGCGGCTCGGGGGGCCCCTTAGCAGGGCCCGGGCCCGCCTGCAGGCGCCCCTTGATGTTGTACCGCCGGCGCAGCTTCCCCATGGTGCCTCAGCCCCGCGTGGCAGGACCAGCGAGCGACCCCGAGTTCAGCCCACGTGGGTACCCGGACCACCAGCAAGCCGCGAAACTTCCGGGTTGCGCTCTCGCGAGAGTTGGGAATTACCGTGAGGCTAGGGCAAGCCTGGTGGGCGGGGCCTATTTAAAGGAGCCGGAGGCCTGTAGCGGAAAGCGAAGGCCTGAGTTTCAGCCCGCTGTTCTAACGCCTTCTCAACCGAGTTGCCAAAGCTGAATTACCTGGGCTGACGATTTAGCTCAGTGGTTTCGCCGCCTGCTGCGCAAGCACAAAGATATGAGTTCAATCCCCAATACCAAAAGAAAAGAGCCACAGATCTGTTACCTACTTATTATACTAAGCGTCGCTTGGAATTGAGTGTTTTCTTTGTTTTTGAAATGAAACCTATTAAAAAAATGAAATATAACCAATATACCCGTGCCCCTAGTACAAACTTCTCCCATCTCCATTCTGCTAATCGATTGATATGATATTGCTACAGATATATTTATGTTTTAGTACAAATTGTATAAATTGAAAAGGCACCAGATATTTCCATCTCAGGGACAGAGAAACTGACAGAAGGCCGCTACTAGATTAAAACTCTCATTACTGCATCATGCCCTCTGTAGTGGTGTATTTTCATAATCCTGTAATTGTCTTGCAAATAGAACAGTTACATTGTAACACTTTTTTCCGTTAAATGCATTAATTAGTTAAGAGCAAACAGTTAAATTATTTTCTTCGTGTTTTTGTTTTGTTTTGTTTTTGAGATAGGATCTCACTCTGTAGCCTAGGCTGGCTTCCAAATTACATTGATTCTCCTGCCTTAGTCCCTCCAAGTGCTGGGATTACAGGCATGGGCTACTTATAGTCTTTGTGGTCTCAGAGTTATGTTTGGCCTTACTTGGTTCATTTTAGGGTGTGTAAGGGAGAGAAACATTTCTGGTAGCCCTCTGAAGTTTCGATCATCCAGTCTATGAAACAAACCAACCAGGGACAGAAACCACTGTAACTCTCGCTGGCGTAAGTGTCCCGCCAGACAGGACACTGGAGGAGGGGAGGGACGGGAGCTCCCAGCCTGGAGAGAGGTCCCCAGCTCCTGCAGGGTGAGGGAGAGACCACAGGGAGCCAAGGTCGCCTCAAGGTGCAGCTTAGGGTAGGGGCAAAGCCCGGCAGGACTGCAGGTAGGGTAAGCAGGTCCCCATGTAAACTCAGCGGAAGCCCTCTCCAGCCTTCGCCCGGTTGCAGTAATTGGCAAACCAGAGCAGCATATATTTTTTTAAATAAAATAACTTTTTATCAAACAGACACACATACAAAAAATTAAAACCATTCAAAGAAGAACAATGCAAGGGGAAAAAAACTACAATAATATTCAAATACAGTAGAACTCAATGAAAACAAAACTGAAAAGCACTTAAACATTTTTCCATATAATTTAAAAAAGCATCTCAAGCACCAACAAGACACCAGAGGATGTGATTTGTTTCAGAAAGATCCCCCAAACCAACACTGAGCAAATAATGATCTGGAAGAAAAACTACAGTTAGCAGATTCCACGTAAGCCAAACTTCTCCCTGATTTAAATTTTGATACAGTCATATGACACCCAATGGAAACACAATCCGAGAAATATGTTATTAGGCCATTTCATCCGTGTGTATCCTTAATTACAGTTTCAGTTTCTCACACCAGAGAAACTTTTCAGTATTTACACGTGTGTCCTATTTCTTTCGCTTAAGAGGATGGCCTCAATGTGCATCCATTTAGCTATAAATGTCTCTAGTTTCTCATTCTTTATGGCTGAGTAGTACTCCATTTTATAAAAAAACATCATCTTTAATCAGTTTCCAGTTGATGGGCACTTGGGCTGTTTCCAAGCTTTAGCTATAACAAACTGTGCCACTATAAACACGAGTGCACATATATCACTGTGGTATGATTCTTTTAATTCTTTGGGGAAGATCCCCAGCAGGGGAATAGCTGGGTCGAATGGGACCTCTAGCCCTAGTTCTTTGAGGTATCTCCATACTGATTTCCACAGTGGTTGCACCAGTCTACACACCCACCAGCAGTGGAGCAGGGTTCCTCTTTACCCACACCCCCGCCAGCCTTTGTTATTGGTTGATTTCTTGATAGCAGCCATTCTTTCTGGGGTGAGGTGGAATCTCAGTGATGTTTTCATCTGCATCTCTTGAATGACCAGTGATGTTGAACGTTTTTTCATACGTTTATTTGCTGCTTTTACTTCTTTGTCTGAGAAATGTCTGTTCATTTCAGATGCCCATTTTTGAATTGGGTCTTTGAAGAGCAGCATATTTTGAGGTGTTATTTCCAGGAGTCTTTCTCAGCTGCAAACCAGGTCCTCGCCTGGGTTGTGGGCACCAGGCGGATCACCTCCCCTTGCTCCTTCCGTGCGCTGCCCGCAGAGCCCCGCAGCCGGCGCTAGGCGGCGCTGGTCCTTCCCGGCCTCGGCTGTCTCCGACCCCCACTTCCTTAAGTGGTGCAGATCGACTTTGCGATGCCCTCCGCGCCGCGGTACTGGAGTTTGATCCTTTCTGTGGCTCTGAGACGCCGTGGCTCGGGGCGCTGGGAGCATTAGATGTGCCGGGCCAGTTTGGGGGGACCCTACTGATGAATCCGCGCAATGGCTCCCTGTGCATTTCCCGTCGCCCCATAAATTGCAGTTACTCACCTTGTCGAGGCTGTTGCCAGGTTTTACAGGCGTGGGTTGATTTTTGCGGTAAGGTTAAAAATAAACCTTTTAAAAAGTGAAAATAGAGGGGAAAAATGGAAACAAGGCTTTTGTACACAGGGAGGAGAGGGAGCTTGAGGGGGAAAAGGATAAAATAAAATGTATTTAAAAATAAGAAATAGGGCCGGGGATTTAGCTCAGTAGTGGTGCCGCCTGCTTCGCAAGTGCAAGGTCCCGAGTTCAAGCGCCGGTACCAAAAAAAAAAAAAAGAAAAAGAAAAGAAAAGAAATAAACCATTTTATTTTGCAAAACGAGGGAAAAAGCCCCCCGGGTCAGGGGAGGCTTCCGGGGGCGGGGCATACAGCGACGGGCGGGGCCTAGCCGAGCGCGGGGCGGGGCCTGTGGGCGGGGCGGGGCCTGTGGGCGCACATGACCCTGGACAGCTAGCAGTGTGCCCTA